GATCCGTAATTGTTGTCTGGGAAGGTTGCTTTGTAATTCGTTTTTAACATAATATGATCCAGGCAGGTTTGATTGTGAGTGGGCAATGTATGCGCAGAAAGGGTACTAATTGAAGCTAACTAGTTTAAGAAATTTTCAGCATGAGTATCGCTATATACGTAAACGCTCTGTTCACAAATATATGAAATAGAGACGGCTCCGTGGTGCAATGGCTTAGCAATGAGTTACAGCGCTAAGGGCCGCGGGTTCGCCGCCTACTATATGCATATATCGCCTACAAGTAATTGTTCCGGGTCTGGATGTTTGTCCTGTGCCCCCACGATACAGGAGAAAATCCTAGTGTGGAGGTAACGTTTTAAAAAAAATCAATATTAATATCGCATGCTATGGAAGGAGAGTAAGTTCATTTTTATTTTTATAATGGGTTCTTGGAATATTTTTTATTTCTACCATTGTGGTTCTGGCATTACGTTCCAAAAGTTTTTGTTATTTTCTGCACAAGAAAGTTTATGCGACATGTTTTCAAACTATTTTTTTCTTTAATATGTTCTAATTCCTTTAAAACATCGACATATTTTGCATATAGAAATAAAATAGACTCACTGATTTCGACAGTTTGTTGCTTGATCTCATTAATTGATGTGATTAAAGTTTTAATCTTTTGGTGCTGTTGCTTGTTAAAATCGTTAAACATACGGTGTAATTCATGCATTGACGAAGACGAATCTTCACTCGGCTCGGGAATCTGTCTTTTTGTTTTCTCGTCAAAGTACTGCATTCATTATCACTTTCTGGAACTGTATTCGGGTTTTATTACTAGATACACTTAATGTATTTGGTGGAGTACTCGCTGTATTGACATTATATTATGTGGGTATAAAAATAGGCCTAAAGCAGTCCGGCGATAACTATCTTCGCAATTAGGTCGAATCTGGTAGCTCAATATATTTAACTAATATGACGTTGAAAAATACTATTTTTAAATTAGAATAAAATGGTAAAATAAAGACGTCCGATGTCCACTGAATCCAAGGGGAAGGGATATGTTTTGTGTATGTGATTTTTTTAAATCAAATAGTCTTTACGCCGATTTAAATAAACATTATTAGAAACATTAAATTTAAATTATTATTAATTAAAGTTAAAGTTACAGCTTCCATACGTTCCAATGCTGGACACAGGCCTCCTATTATTTCTCAGAGGGTTTTAGGGCAAGGACTTCACCTCCGGGAAGGGTGATCGCTACCAAGTTATTTTTAATTTGTCTTGTGTTGTTAATTGTAAACATGATTGTAAGCTATTACTGGAAAAAAATCCCGCTGGGTTTCTAGCTGGTTCTTCCCAGGACAGAGGTTTTTTATTGCGAACCAGTGGTAAATGAAAAAATTGACTTTCTATAAGTATTGTTTATAATCTACATTGAATAAAAAAGTTTCTGTTTCTGTTTCTCAAATAAGGGGAAAAGATGCTATATTTTCCTCCTATTTTCTCAGACATGCGAGAGACTGGTTACCTCACGATGTTTTCTTTCACCGTCGAGCGCTTGGTAAATCAGCACTTAAAATTGTAATTAATAATTTCATTGATGCCGGCGAGGATCGAACCTGTGTTGTTTGTGTACTGTGAAATTAACAGGGAGCGCTAGCCACGGCTCTTTAAAGCTTTCTTTTATTGTTATTACGAATAAATTGTAATAAATACAAATATAGTTTTGCGATTATATAAAAACTATTTGAGATAAACAATTTCCTATATATTTTACTTTAATATAACTATCGATTTACGCAGACGTCATGTACGTATTAATTACATCGTCATCATAAAATTAGCAAATTTGAATTATATATTCATAAATTATAGACTTAAACGTTCCTCGCTAACCAGTTTATTTAAAAATGAACACAGAATAAAAATCCTGTTAGTAGATTCTGAGATTAGCGCGAACATATATAGATACAGGTAGACGCGGCGGGGTGTTATGTATGGATGTCTTTTCATTAACAATTATTAAACTCTGACTGCCTCGTTGGTCTAGTGGTTGTAGTAGTGCGACTGCTGATCATAAGGTCCTGGGTTCGAATCCCGGGTCGGGCCAAAAATCAATCATTGAGTTTTTCTGTCAAGAAATTCTTAGTAGCTGCCCGGAGTCAGGAAGTTGGCGGTGTCTCACCCCCCGTGCCTCGGAAAGCACGCAAAGCTGTTGGTCCTGCGCCTGATCTCTCTCCGGTCGTGTCGGTTCACCGTACCACCGGATTATGAGAGTGAGGGAATAGAGAGTGCACCTATGCTTGCGCATACACTTGGGCACTATAATCCTGTCCTGCGCCGATGGCTAGCCTCCGTTGAGGCAGGTCGTCGTGACCGAAATTCGGTCTGGAGGACATTATTAATATTAAACTCATCGTTCCAATTAAATTTACCTTTTTTATTATTATCCTTAGCCAGCGCTTAGCTACAATCCCACCTGATGGTAAGTGGTGATGTAGCCTGAGATGGTGAAGCGCACTGACCTTACAAAAGTCCAATTTACATACAATTGTAATCGGATGGAAAGACAGGTGCTGGCAACTTATTCCACTGCTTTGCTGTCGCATGATGGACGACATAGCAAACCGTTTGGTTCGAATGCGTGGTAATTCAACAACGAAGGGTGGTGACTGGCCGAACGTCTGGTGTTCCGAGGGTGCGCTCCGATGGTCCAATTCCTGCGCACACTTCGAAATGCATCCTATAGAAAATCTAGCCACCTACTTAAAATATTGTCTCAGGACCAGGTTAAGCATTATTAGTCCTAAGTCTTTAAGCTATTACCTACTTCAATTATTGTTCTTAGAACTGGGTAATATACAAAAATAATATTCGGGTTCACACTACTTCGTTTTTGTGTTTGGAACAGCAAAATGCATATTTTTTTATTTAGAATAGATTATCCCATTAGCAAATGTAACATGAAAATTGCGCGTTTACGGCCTTTTAAAAAGAAGTAAGTTTTTCTTGGAAAGTTCATAAGTATGCTACTTTCGAGGAAAAACTAACTTCTTCGTTCCGTAAAAGTAGCTGGTGCTAGCCGATACTATGCTATTCAAATAAGAATAGAACTGACTGACTATCGCAGCCCATGAACAACTGCAATATCAGGGGTATTGCAGGTGCGTTGCCGGCCTTTTAAAAAGGTGTAAGCTCATTTCTTGTAGATTTCCTATGTCGTAGTGGTCCGATAAAATCGCTGGTGGTAAACGATTGAACAAAGAAGTCGTGCGAGGAAGAAAAATCCCAGTAAATCTCATAGTGGTGGAATGCCAAGCATCAAGGTGGTGTGGATGGTATCGTGAGTTTTGTCGCGATGTGCGTGAGTAAAATTTGGCGGCAGGAATTAATCCAAACAATTCCTCTGAGCATTCCCCGTGATAATTGCAACATCTGCAGTGCCAGTGAGTCGAGCCGATCAATGGGGGGTCGATTACAAAGAACTTTGTAATCGACCCCCGCCCTGCATGCGGTCAAGTGAAAGGAACTGGCACTGGGGTGTCCCGGTCCAGAAATGAGAACAGTATTCCACGTGAGGCCGAACCTGTGCCTTGCAAAGTAAAATAATAGTTTATTTCCAATCGCAATTGCTCAAACGACAGTGCATTACATAATCTAACCACTGTGACAGCGCAGAACCTGTACTAAGATATTCTGTGTTACAGTTTTCCGTCTGTACTGTCTCGCCAAACATTTTAGAGACCAATTTAGCCTTCCCCTCCAATTGACTACGAAACTGCATACCACTCAGCCTTGTGGAACACCAGCATTACTAGGCTTGTATTCGGAGCATACTACGGCCTTGATGCTCCAATCTGTAAGAAAACTGATGATCTTATTGCACAAACTCGGAGAGCCCATAGAAAGGAAGCTTCGAAAGTAGTGCTTTTTCCAAACCCGATCGAAAGCCTTCGCTATGTCCAAGTTAACGGCTATGGCTTTCGCCTTGGACTATACTGTCTCCGCTCAGTTAAACTAGAAAATTAACACTTGTATTTACACACCAATGAAAAATGTAGCAATGCAATTAACCATGAGAAGTATAAAATAAAATCGATTCGATATAGATGATAACGATAATCGAGTATTTACGTAATTGTAACCTACAAATGATTTTTTTTATTCTTTTTTACTTATTTAAAAGGGTTAGGCGGCCGTCAAAGATGAAGTTCTTTTATGAGGTCTATTTTAATCACTAATTAGGAATTTAGTATTTCTGTATATTATTATGTATCTGATACTGTATTTAAATAATAAATACTGAAAATATCAATTCATGATGTTGTTTGTAAACTGTGAGCTCAAGAAACGAACATTTCTCAGTAAAAAGTTTAATTCTTCATGTTATGTACGAAACCCTAATAGACATCGAACCGACCGAACCCGACTCACACTTGACCGTTTTATTTAAGGACTGAAGTTTCTTTGGAATAAAAGGATTAATCTGCGATTTACTCAAAGACTGACATATTATATAAATGCAAAAATACAAAACCGCACAATGTGTGACAATCTCACAATATATTATTACTGGCTCTTGTGCTATGATATCTCTAATATTAAAATATTTTAATTTTTAAAGTTCGCGTATATATAAGAGTTCATTATGTTATAATATGTGAATATCCCGTAGACATTAGTTTTAATTTTGTTGGCCTTTTAACGTGCACTAGCTGGCAAGAATTTGTTGGAAGATTTGCTGAAACTCAACACTCTGAACAAGCGATACTCTCGCAATGATAATGTAACTTTAGTCTTGAAATTAGGAACGGTTTTTTGCCATCATTCGGTCACCAGAATCTTTTCCATCCTTCCACAAATTGAAGAAAAAGCATACTTATTTCTTTTCACACCCATTTAAAGCTTAATCTCTGATAAGATCAAGTAAAGGAATATACGACAGGAAAATTATTTTAAAACCAGATGACAGTTCTATTTGTGCAATTTTAAAATTTTGCTTCTTATCTCTACAGCGATAACAAAAAGTAAAGAATCTAAAGAGAAGCTAGAAGATTTAGAAATGATGACAGCACTCAATCGTCGGTCTTCAAACCCCACTAGCGTAGTGACACTAGAACAGCCGGCCGATTTTGCTGATTGTATTAGCAATCAGCATACAGCACAACGGAGAAGACCGCACCATCATTCTCATCACTCGCTGGTATGTTACTCATCTTCTTTCTTATTTCTTTCCTAAAGATAATCTTGACGAACGCTTCATTCTTCTTCTTATTATTATTAGATAGTTTAACACTAGTGAACCATTCCTGGTGACATTTCAATCGCTTTGGCTTACACGCATGGTTTTTGCATATCATGCTTTATTTACTTAAAATATTTACTAAATAAATAACACAAACACTATCATTCATAAAAGATTCCTAGTAGATGTAGGTCAAATAACTTCAATGCAATGCTGATATATATACACTACATAAATAAAAAAATCGAAAATGTTCATTTCGCTTAGATATGGTGTTAATGATTTTGATAGTAAAAAGAAAATGCAATGAAGTGTATTAAGTGCTTTTAACGGTTCATGAATCGTGCATTAACCGGTAAAGGCTATTATATACTTACTTATTAAATTACTATTGTTGAAGAAAAATCATACCCGTTCAAAGTTTCCACAGCTAAATTTGATTTTCGACATACCCTACCACACCTCGACGAAGATGCCACTTGAGATCATTCAATACACGTAGAAACTTGGAGTATAGCCGAGTTGTGGGCTAAACCTTCGTCGTAAATTTCACAGTACGTGAGCAAGCCATGTTACCCGATTAACGATACTCGGTATTACCAATAAACTGTTTATTGCAGTTTTCAGTGCAGACATACCACGTGCTCGGTGGCGAAAGGAAAACGAAAGAAGGAAGTGAGGATGTAGGTTTCTATCTGAGGAATAAAAATATTTCGAAGAAATTTGATTCACCATCTAGCACTGGAGCAGTTGCTCCATAATCCTTTAATTAATAAGAGGAGGCCAGTGCCCAGCGATGGGAAAAATATAGGTTGCAACCTACCTGTATTTAATATATTGAAGGCGCAAGTAGTTTACATCTCATTTTTGGTGCAGATGTTCCTTATATACCTACGTTTTTCTTACAATAGATAAATCATAGTACGGAATAAAATATTTATATTAAATCATTTTTATATGATATATATATATATATATATATATATATATATATATATATATATATATATATATATATATATATATATAATGTATACTAACTACAAGGTATTAAAACCTTTGTATAGCACGATAAACTCACTTAAACAAACGATTATGATGTAAATGATTACTAAAGTTACTGTTTATATATATCTATAGCGTGAATATAATGCAATTTATCGTTTTAGTAATTACGGCATAAAATTGGTAATGTTTGCAGTTCGTTTCAAGTAAATATTTTAACCTCTATAAGAACTGATAAATTGTTTGCTTTATTACGTATTCAGTTTCAATAGAGATCGAATTTTAACAGCACGTGTTTAGCGGGTGTCGAATTTCGTTATTTTGCGTACTGCAAATTGTGTAATTTTAACGCTTGAATAAAATAAAAATATATTATCAAGGTAAAGAATTTGTTCTTATCTATTATTTTTCTATAGCAGTATAAGCGGAGCAATAAGACAAAGGCGACCTCTGCCACGCTATCCGTGAATATCTGCAACATAAGGGGACTTCATTCAAATTTAAAATCTGTCCCCTACCATCTGGAGACGGCGAAGCAGGCCTTGTTCTTTCCAACCGAAACACAGGTGTCCTCTCCGGCTGATACTTCGTATCTCTCTTACCCGCGGTACAAATTAGAATACTCCTTTGTGCCCCAGGCGTTTGCGTATACGTCAGAGAGGACATATGTTTTCGACCCCTCGGCAGTCTTGAAGGTACGGACCTGTCCATCCTATGGCTGCGCGTAGACTGCGGCGACCATCCTCGCGTCTACGGGTGCCTCTATAGGTCCCGAAGCGGTAATGCCGACACAGACACACTCATCGACCACGTCCAAATGCCTGCAAAGTCCGTGCTACAACAAGTCCTATCCGCAGATACCGTGATCCTAGGTGATTTTAACGCCCACCACGCTGAAAGGCATGGTTCCCGTTTAACCGATCAAGCGGGTGAATATGTTTATAATGCCTTAATACATGGTCTGACACAACTGGTTACTTCGCCTACGCGAATCTCAGATGTATTTGTTATTCTTTTACCACTAAAAAGGATCGTGCACCTCCGTGTTGGACTTTCTGCTAACTTCTCATTTGAAAGGATATCTGGTCTCCGTCAAGGCGCCTCTGGGCTCTTCGGACCATTGGTCTGACCCGGAGTACGGTTCCACTCACGCGGTTGCGTTCTGCAGGTTGCCGCCGTGTATGGCACTGGCACTATAAATAAGTCGGCCGATTAGGAATGGTTGCGGTCTTTTTTGCATCCTACCTTTGGGGACGTGTTTGCTTATCGCCGGATGATCCTAACGTTATTGCTTTATCTGTCGCTGATGTGATACTTCAGGGAATGGAACTTTTTATTCCATCATCTGTGTTGCCTATCGAAGACAGAACTCGGCCATGGTTTAGTCACTCAATTACTAACCCGCCTGCTAGGTGTGGCAACTTTGGCAGAATCCGCCATGTAAGACAATTTATGAGTAAATATTCGTTGTAATCGTTGATGCGCCAGTTTGTGATATGTTTGTTTTGTCGAGGCTATAGTCCATAGCTAAGCTAGGAGCCGATAGGTGGCACTGTAGTCAAGTATTAAATACAATTGTATATTTAAAAAACAAAAGGACCCATTTACAATAATGTTAGTTAAGTTCCAATGTAGTGGCGGCGTAAGAATATCAACCCATATCGTGGGTGTCGTAAGAGTCGACAGAGATAAACTGAAGCAGGAAATGAGCAGCAGTATTTTCCTGATAACAAGCGTGGCAACTATGGCAAAATCTAGGAGACAATGTATTGTGAGGGCCTATGTTTAGCAGTGAGTTTTTATAGGCTGGAATGGAGGTTCCAAAAAAGAGTGATGTAGTGATCTTAGATTAAACCGGAGTAAACTGGCTACCGAGAAGGACAGAACGATACCTACCGGACCACCACAAATGTTAAGTCCAGTGGATCATTTTTCTGCAAGTAATAGTGACAAATTAGCGCACGCTACACCTGATGGTATACAGTATAGTCATAAGTGCAGCCATATTAAAACATTAAAAAAATTCAAAGTTTAAGGGTAAACCGCAAGGTTCATGCAGCATTCAAAGTCGATTATATAATTGGCCTCAAGCCACAAAAAGTTTAACCAGAGTTTATTAACAATTCGTCTTTTTAATACATTCAATAACGGAGGCATGTTCTACCACGGCTTATGTGGTGTTTTATCATAATATTTGAAAAAAGATATTGGCTAAATAAAATAATTATAATAATAGTACATTATGAACATACATATATTATATTCTTGTTTCACGCATCGCGTACCACATAAAACAAAAAACAGACTAGTTTCCGAGACGTTATGTTGTAAGCTTGTAAAGAGGTCTCAGTCTACCCAAATTGCACATTACATGATAAAATCGCCAGATGAAATAGTTAATTTTATTAGAACTAAAGGTCATGTTTGTTTCGTGAGTGTGTCATAACGAGTAACGATTTATGTGAGTATCATGACATTACGAACTTTTTTACCATGTAAAACTGCTAAAGTAAGAGTTAACCAGTTTCTCGTCTTTTGTGATGATATTTTGAATTATTTTGACTTCTCGGTGTATTTTACCTTTTTGAATTCGACATTGACAATGTATAAAGATATCTGTAGAGCTATACCTTCTTCCAAAACTACGCTTTAATAGGAGACTTCAACGCGAAACAAGGAACGAGAAAATAGAGCTTTGTGGGACAATTCGGAATAGGCAACGGAAGCAAGCCCGAGGCCTTCGGTTGGCTGACTTCTTAGAGAAGGAAGCACGTCTTTCTGACGAACTCTTTCTTTCAAAAGCAACCCCATAGAAGATGGTCCTGTCCGGAAGGTTTGGCAACAAATGAGATTAACAACATTATGATGAAAAAGCGACAACTGTTCAATCATCACTAGTGTGAAAACTGGTGGAGCTTACCGAATAGTGCGAGACACACTAAATTTTAACGTATAGTTGAAAAACTCACATCTAATGAACTCAACGATCCGTCAACCTCGTGCTAAGCTTGCAATCATCTAAAAACTGAAAACGATTTGGTAAATTGAGCTGTCCTTCAGTAAATTGCAGTAAAAATTTATTTTAACTGAATTTGTAATTATAATATGTTGCGCCAACATTGTAGTTGGTTCTTGATTAAATTGAAACGCTAATAAGATTAATTGCACTATTTATTTACACTATGTATCTACCGTTTAAGAGCAAAGATAATTATTTACAAAAAATAATTTTTTGCATGCGATAACAATATTAATCAGTTAAAAGTCACCACTATAGATTAACAGTAACGGTAAGCCGCGACGGGGCACGGCGACAACAAGTAAACTGCAAGTTAAACTTCATTTCCCTATTTAAAATGCAAATTTGTCCTGAGCTAAATGTTTCTTCTTTCCTATGAGCCATGGCCGCTCAGATGGTTAGCTCTCGCTGTAAATTTCACAGTACGTGAGCAAACCGGGATCGATCCCGCCGGCGCCAATGAAATTGTTAATCGCAATTTTAAGCGCTGATTAACCACGTGCTCGGCGGTGAAGGAAAACGTCGTGAGGAAACATGCACGTCTGAGAAATAAGAAAAAACATATTTCGAAGACATGTGAAGTTCGCCAACAAGCATTGGGACAGCGGCGGACAATTCCTTGCACTAAAACCCTCTCTCTGAGAGGAGGCCTGTGCTCAGGAGTTGGAAGTATATAGGCTGTAACTTTAAATGTATCTTGCGACTTGTGGCATAACTTGTAAAGTCGTCTCTCCGTTTACGTAGACAGTAAAGGCATATCATTGGAATGAACCTTTATACGCTCTACTCTCTGTTTAGCAGTACAAGGATGGAAGAAGGAAGGAAGGATGCAATTCGAGAATATTTCATTGTCATCTGTTTGCTACTTTAACTTACTGATCACTTTGCTTGCTCCGGTTCTATTACGAATATGGTCATTACGGATTATATTACGCATTGAATATCCGAGCATAGGCTTTTTCATAGCGGTGAAGAACCACGCCTTATGCCCAACTACTCATTTATTATTTAAGCAGTTTAATTAATTTGAGCATATACCAGACAGGTTAATTGTCAGATTTGTTAACGTCCGGCCGGATAACTAGTGGTGGGTAAATTTTATAGCGGCTTGCTGCGTAGCACTCCTAGATTCGATTTACATTCAATTTTTTTTACAAAATATACTTTCATACTTTTGTTACCTTTAAGTTTATAAAGCTAACTTCTAAGTACAATTTTTGGATATCATTAACATCCTGTCCCTAAGAGTGCTATACTTTTTTTGAACTTAACCAAATTTAAGTTCAAATAACCTAAAATTTAATAAAACAAATGACCTTCGATGATAATTTTAAATCTAAATAACGCCACATTAATAGAGCTTACACAGTTAAGTCGGAGCTGGTCGCTAGTGTACAATTATAGCGTGTGATTAGGGTTGGCACCATCGATTAAATGATCAGAGATATCTTTTCATAATTTTCAGAAAGGGGGTGAGGGGGACGCGGATGAACGCCGTGAAAGCGCCGCTCGAGCGTTGGAAGCGAGACAGTCTCAGTGGAAACGGATTATGCTACTAGTGGTCGCCATTACTGTGCACAATATACCTGAGGGTCTAGCAGTCGGTGTCTCTTTCGGCGCTGCTGCTTCCTCATCTAAAGCGTCATTCCAAAGTGCAAGGTAAGTTATAGAAATACTGTGAATACTGTGAAATGTCGCTTTTTGTCACTTCTAACTTATACAAAACTCGCTAACCGCCCGGCTTGGCACGGGTGATTTCGTCTTCACCTACCGGGTGCAGTTGTGAATCTAGAATCAATGCAAGCACCTAACACTGGACCTGTGCCATATGGCTAGAAGAAAGCTTTCAAATGATTCCCACCATTAAAATCTAAAATAGGCTAGCTTGGGGTGAAATGCGCCGTAATCTCGTTGAGTTGGGACGACCTCTCATTCCCTGCCTAGTTTAAGGCTATGGTTGAATGCTTTAGCATTCAAAGCAAGCAAAGGTAACATCGGCGCTTCTTGACCTCTAGTTCAGGAGGCGCCGATGTTACCTTTTGCAGGTGATGTCGTGGAAATAGGCTGCTGGGAGGGAGAGGCAAAAAGGAAAAAGCAAAAAGAATGCAATTATCCCAATCCGTAACCGGGCATCGGGGAAGAGTTTATCAGGCCATTCTGCATCCCAATAATTAAGGGCTAGGTACCGGAAACTGAGGTAATTTATCACCTTCATATGTTTGGCCTCAAAATGTCGCGTGTAGTGTTCTTGCAACCAACTTGAAACAACGAAATATGATGAAATTCCTGTAATTACACTGGATTTGTTAATCATCAAACCGGAACACCGAATTTCATTGAAAAAATTGCATAGAAATGGCTTTACATGGAGAGCCAAGTTGCCTTTCTACAATCGTTACCGCTAAAAGTAAACTATAAAATTGAAAGTGAATAACATACTTTAACGTTCAGTCTCGATACTTATTGTTGATTTCATTAATTTTTATAGTTTTTTTCCCTAAAGAATTGTAGAAACTCAATTTGGCTAACTTCTATGTATCATAAGTCTTACCATCTAAGTAAATGTAGTTAGTAAAAGTGTTATCTTTTTAATTTATGTGTATAATGTTTGTTTATCTCAAACACCGGTTGATTGCGACTTAATCTATTGTTACTACAGTATATGAATTTGAATTATTCCATTGATTAAGCACTATTGATTTAAGAAGTTTTTACAATGGAATTTGTTTACATGTTAAATTTAACGTAGATAACGTTAAAGATCCTTATTAATAAAATTACAGATTTTATCGAATTTAAATAGCTTTTTTTACATTCCCGCCATTTCGAGTATTTCTTACGTGTTAACACGTGGTGATTCGACGCTCCGAGAAATCTTTAGTCTGTAAACATTGGCAAGATTGAGAACTTATGTATTACCTTACTAATAAAATTAAATCCCAGCCCAGGCAGTGGTACCTACAAGACTTTGAGTTCCTTCTGCGTAAGATTGCACTCCGGGAATATTCCCCTCCAGGAATACGCAAACTATAATAATAGGAAGGATATCTATAAGGATATGTGCACTCTAAAAAAAATGTATCACTCTCATCACTATTGTCTTCTTCGTCATTATTCCTCTTATTCCTATCATGAAAAGTTTTTTTTACTTTTTCTTTTCCTTTACCCTTGGGACTAGCCTTTAAACTTTTCTTCTATCGTCTTTGGTTCTTTTTGGTCAGCGTCTTACGGGATTGCTGTTTTATTTTAAGTTCCATTAGATTTTCTTTTTCTGGTGTACGTGTGTAATTAGTGCTTTTTCTTTTTCGTATATTTATTTCATTTTCCAAACGTGGTCCAGCTTTTGGAAATGGTCTTATCTCTTCAGATGAATTAAACGAATTACTTGGCATATTCAAACTTCTTGCTTCGTTTTAAATTCTTCATCTTCATTCCTGAAATTGCGTCCAAAATACAAGGCAACTCGCAAGAAGTAAATAATGTTGATATTGGCATGTCGATTTCATCAGTTATTAAAAAAGAAGCATCAGTGTCGTTACCTGGGTCATGTGAAGGTCTTGCTTGAGAAGTTAATAGAGCAGCACTGTCAGTAACTGATGCTGGTAGTAGTGAACTAGTGAGGCAAGTTTGGTGTTTGCTTGTCTGTTACATGAGATTAGCTAAATTCCAAGTCAGGAAAAATACATTTTCATTGAGTGGTGATATCCCCGTGACTCGGAATCCAGATTGTGCTGAATTGTAGCTGCCAATGGTAATGATGTTTTCCCCAACACAGGTATGTCATAGAATGTACGTACGTACCTTTGTGGTTACGTGGTGAAAAAAAACGTAAATGAATTTAAATGTGAATCCTGTGTAAATGTATTTTATGATGAAGTTAGGGAAGGTTCACTTATAAACATGTAGGATGTGGGTGGCTTCGTTTATTCCTCTCAAGACGTTTATAAGATAGTTATTCATTCTGAATGAGTTTTTCGAAAACAAATGAAAGGAAAAAATTTAAACGAAAATATGTTTCGAAAATTAGTAAACGAATGGCTTGAGTCCTGCATAAATTATTTTGACAAACTTGACATACATATATATGTCAAAATAATTTAACCATATACACTTAAGGGCCTATACTACCTCAGCTTAATTTTTTTTTAGAATAGGGTGACAAACGAGCACACAGTCCACCTGATGGTAAGTGGTCGCTGCAGCCCATAGACATCTACATCTATCCTCCATTAAAAATCAAAATGCAGATGCGTTGTCACCCGTGAGGACTGAGATGGAATGCCTCGTTTCCAGTAAAAAGGGTCTCCGGTTCTCTACACTCACCATACGAAATACAGCAGCATTAAGCTACTATTTCACGCTGGTATTCTGTGAAAGCGTGGTCCTTCCCCGGTCGAGCCGACCCATTCGTGCTACAACTATACTACTAATATAACTGCAGCATGGCTCTACCACGTAAAAAACTAATTTCGCCCCCACTTCCCAACGCGTCTTATGCTATGTGTTTGTAATCACTAATACTGTAAGTAGATAGGTCGTTAATACTTATTTCATAACAACAATAGTCTTTCCTGGGTGACTTGCTAACCAGTTATCGTACACTTCGTTGAAATATTTCTTAAGTGGCCCATAAATAGTTCTATTTAAAGGCTGCGGTTTATGGCTACAGTGGGGAGGAAATGATGAAACTGTTACTCCATTTTGTTTAAAATAGTCAAGTAATTCAATAGATAAATGCGAGTCGTGGTTGTCTAGAAGTAATAAAACAGGCTTTTCTTTATTGCGTTTTACATATTTTACGAAATGTTTAGCGGATATTTTAAAATTATCTTCTTTCATCCATCCAGAATGATTAGCATCGCCATTTGAATCCACCGGGCCACCCCTAATAAAATGTTCTTTATAGTGGACACGTGGGAAAACAAGGAATAGAGAAACCATATTACCAAGAGCTGTGATTGCAACCGCGACTGACCAGCGTGCATCGTTCAGCAGAAGTCATTTTTCCCCAGGTTTTTGATTCTATCACTCTATTAGGAACATGTACTGTTGTAAGCCTGTTCATCTACGTTAACCAAATATCGCCAGAACTTAGATTCAAACGTTGGTAAACAATTTTCAAGTTGTCGAAGAACAAATTTACGCTGTTTTTGTTAAATAATGTGGCCCGGGATAAACTCGTAGCTTGAGGACATAGTATAGAGAATGAAGGTTGACGTTTCATACAACTTCCCAACCAATCTTCACCAGCAATCTTTTTTTGTTCCACGAGTCAGGGATAGATTTTTTTTTCGTAAACTTATATGCAAATTGTCGTGTTTCATAAAGAGTAAATCCGTACTAAATATCAGCTGCCTACTTGAGATAATTTTCTAATGAGAGTTCTTCCTCGTCACTGAATATTTTTCTTATTTTAAGTGTGTAGTAAGTGCCAGTGCTCTCCAAAGTCAATTTAGATCTTGTCAAAACCGGATTACTTTCTAACATTTTCTTAATTTTTACCACGTGGCATTCGAGTGTTTTATATGGTATAGCAAATTTTTTGCTGCAAAATTAATATTGTTTTTTAATCAAAAATTACTTGTTGACATGCTCTATCGAAGACATCTTTGAGTGTATTTCCTCGATCGCTCTTTCTTTTGTACGTTCGCATGGTCCAGTAACAACAAGCATTTAACAAATTAAAAAAACACTGACTTTACTCAGTGTGAAGTATATCCCGACTACTATGGGGTAGATTGACTGGGTGGTCAACCAGCCCCGGATTGCTTTTTAATTTTTAACCACATGGTATAGCCTCAAAACTGCGGCGAAATAAAGTATGATACGTAATAAAAAGATTAACATACAATTACAAAAAAATAACAAATAGATATAGGTGTACATTAGTAAGCTGAAGTGGCAAGGGGCCGGCCGTATAGCTCGAAGAACCGACAACCGTTGGGGAAGAAGGGTTCTTGAGTGGCAGCCTCGTACCGGTAGGCGAAGTGTAGGGCGACCCCCACTAGATGGAGTGACGACCTGGTAAGACATGCAGGAAGTCGATGGATGCAGGTGGCTCAGGAGCGTGCTTTGTGGGGCATACCTTGGTCCCCCAATTGGCTTGGCCTATGTTCAGCAGTGGACTTGTGAAGGGCTGTAATGATGATGATTATATAGGTGTTATCAAAAAAGATATTACGAGGAAAATAATTATTTACATGATTTATTTTTCGATAATGTGCTCCTTCTCCTAAACGACAACATGCGTATAGCTAACGCCACGAGTCTTGGAAGTGCGCAGAAGTGATAAATAGGTGTCGGCACGGTGAGGTGTGAGGTACGGGGAAGCGAAACATATCCCTGCGTCCCGTCGCCCGCGCACCTTCTTGTGTCGTCTTATGTACTATCGATATTGAAAGTGTTAACGACTACCTGTTATTTTTTTTAATTTTTGCGATTATTTTTGTATATATGAATACAGAATATTATTTAGAAGCAATTAAAACCTAACGATGATATATAAAAATATCGTTTCGTTTTCGTGGATGTGTAGTTATAATGACGACCTTTAACTTTTTACATATTAAAATGCCATAGTAAAATTTTGATTTTTCTGCTTGATTGTACATGCCCAGTGGATGGTGTTTAATTTCACGTTTCGTGGCGCGACCTTTACA